TTTTTAGGGGTGGGGAGGCTGCTTGCTTGTGTAAGGTGGCAGAGCTGGGTCACACAGCCCTGGGCAGGCTGGCTCCAGAGAGAGAGGTCTGAGGCCAGGGTTAGGGAGGCAGAGGAAGGAGGAGGAGCACTGATGCATGTAACTCAGGGGAAGAGGGCTGGGTTCCTGGCAGGTGGTCCTAGGTTCCCAGGTGATGGCCCCGGACTTCCCGCTGCGTGACTCAGGCTTCCCCTGGTCAGGGCGGGGCACTGACTGCTCTGAACAAAACGCTGGCCTTGACAGGGCCCCAGCCTTCAGAGGCCATGGGGTCTGGGTCCCGGCTGGGCTCTGAGATTCTGGGCAGCTTGTTAACCCCCTCGTCCTCCTTGGGATGGGAGGGGGCTATGATTTATTGTTGCTCAAGCCCGGAAACAGCTTTTGTCTTCCCCGTGTGGCAGGGACCTCCTTGTCACTCCAGAAGCCAGAGAGAGGGAGGGCGAGGGGGAGTGTTTATTCAAGTGCTGCCCCCTTCAGTCCTTCCGCCCTTCTGTACTTTGGTAAGGGTGAGACTTGGCTGGGTGCCAGCATGTCACTCTTGGTCGTCCCACCTGCCTCCTCCCTCTGCAGGTGACCCCCAGATGCAGTGAGTGTTGGGTTTGGGGGTGGGATGAGCCCAGTTCCCTTGGCATCTCCTCAGTGACCTTGCTCAGCACAAGGGGGGAGCCTCAGCATACTTGTTGAATTGTTGGGCAGGCATCCTAACACCCAGGAGGTTGTGCTCACTGCCCCAGAGTAGCCCGAGTGCCCACAGGGCTTGGCGCTGTGGGAGGTCTGAGCAGGCTGTTTGGAGGATGAGGGCTCCTGGAGGGCTGCCTGGAGGAGGTGACACAAGCTGGGCCTTGATGCACCAGGAAGATTTGGATGTGGGGAGATGAGGTCATGGGCTTTGTGGGCAGAGGAAGACAGGCAGAGAGGAGGGAGAAACAGGCGGACAAATGGCCCCAGGGTAGGACGGCCGTGGTTGTCAGCTGCTGCTGAAATCTGGCTTCTTGCTGACTCTTGCCCCAGGAGGGTTAGACAGGCGGGTGTGGCGTCCCCAGTACCTTAGCTCAGTACACTGTGGGTGCACACGGGGTGTTAGGTGAGACGAGGAGGGAGGCAGGAGAGGGAAGCGCCGGTGGGGAGGCGGGCGTGGCTGTTGTGGAGAGGAGTGTGCTCAGCTGGGCTGCAGGGCAGGGCTTCCCAGGCGGTGCTAGTGGTAAAAGAAGCCGCCTACCGGTGCAGGAGACTGGAGGAGATGTGATCCCTGGGTCAGGAAGGTCCCCTAGCGAAGGGCGTGGAAATCCACTCCAGCGTTCCTGCCTGGGGAATCCCATGGACAGAGGAGCCTGGTGGGCTCCAGTCCACGGGGTTGCAAAGAGTTGGATGTGACCGAAGCGACTTTGCATGCACCGGCTGCAGGGCGATGAGAGCCGGGGAGGCGCCAGAAGCCCACTGGGCCAAGTTGTCACAGGCCCCTGCCCACGGGGTGCTCCTTGCCTTTGCCACCCAACTCCAGGCTGGGGCGGGGACGAGAGGGAGGGGGCTTGGAGGGCCAGCCGGTCCCAGGAGGTCTCCCCACTGAGCACAGTGGTAACTCTGTGACCTCAGAGAGAGAGAGCTGGGGGTGAGGGGAAGGCCCTGGGGACAGTCCGGGGGTGAGAAACAGTCAGAAAGAGCGCTGGACGGACGACCGCCCTCATTAGTGCCGACCCTACCCTCGAGTGCTGACTACCTGCCAGGCGCCAGGCGCTGCCTGAGTTTCTCCCGTGAATTCCCGCAGGTGCGACTCACAGCCTCAGGAGGAAGGGATTGGAATTATTTCCATTTTGCAGCTGAGGAAACTGAGGTCCAGAGAGGTGACATTACCTGCACCCAGGTTTCCTGCACCAGGGATTTGAATCTGAGCACTGTAGCTCCCAAATTGCTGCTTGGACCCATCCTCCAGGGAACCTCAGGAGGGTCTGCAGCCGAGGGAGGGAGCCTGCGGGGGCGGCAGGCGGAGCTGGCAGAGGGGACCACGGGTAACAGGATGCTTATCCCCTGGACCCTGAGGCCTCCTGCAGGCTGACACACCCTGCGGGGACCGCACACTTGGTCCTCTGCCCTTTATGGGAGGCGGTGTGAGTGCAGGGGCAGGGGTGGGCCTCCCTGGGGGAGGCTCCGAGTCGTGGCACCTGGACAGCCGCCTGCCCGCCCGCTGGCCTGGCCCAGGCCGAGTGCCCAGTCTGGGGGCAGAGGGGAGCGGGTTGGAAGCAGGACTGAGCCTCCCCCAGACCTCCTGGCCCTCCTCTGGCGGGCCAGGCGCTGTTGACTCCAGCCCCGAGGCCCCATGTTGGGAGAAAACATCAAAAGCAGGAGACAAGCTGCTTCTAATTAGGAGGCAAGTGCATTTCTGGGTGTGTGATCAGGGCTGGCAGAGGTGAGCTGGCGAACAAACGAAGTGCCGGCCTCTCTCGGGGACCTGCTGTGCTGGCCCCGCGTCTCTGCTGTCAGCTCCAGATTCAGGGTGCGTCTCTTTAGAGCGATGACCCTGGGGGTGACGTTTATTTTGTTCTGTTTTATTGTCCAAAAATTTTAAATGTGGCCATTTCAGACGCACACAAAAGTACAACAGACAGGGCAGGGCGCCTCCGTCAAATCCACATCATCGCACGGCCGTCAGCTCTGGGCCAGTGTCATCTCTTCTTCCACACGTTCCTGGACTCGGTTCTTTTGAAGGAAATCCCAGGCTTCCCATCACGTCATCCCTAAGTATTCTAGTACATGCCCCTGAAACAGTGGGTCTCAACTGGGGACAGTTCTGCCCCCAGGGGACATTTGGCAATGTCTTGAGACATTTCTGGTTGTTACTGGGGGAGGACGAGCTGCTGGTGTCAGTGCGTAGGGGACGGGGTGCTGCTCGACAGCCTGCGGTGCATGGGACAGCCCCCCAACAAGGCATCGCGGCCTGCTTCCCTCCACAAGCGTTAATAGTGCTGAGGCCGGGAAACCGCGCCAAGAGCTCGGGACTCTTAAAAACCAACCAAGCAACCACAGCTATAACACCATCGTCAGACCTTAAAAATGACGATACTTTTTGAATTAATCATCACGTATCCAGCCAGAGTCCGCCTTGTAGGGGGTGCTGCGTTCATGCTAAGTGCTCTCTAGGGCCGCGAGGACTGGGCTAGTTTTCAGACTCTGCTGACTCAGGCAGGCAGTGCTCTGGAACATTCCAGTGGGGTTTGCTTTCTAAACACGTGCTGTATTTGCATGGTTCCATACAGAAAACTGGAGTAGGAGATGGCAACCCATTTCAATATTCTTGCCTGGCAAGTCCTATGGACAGAGGAGCCTGGTGGGCTGCGGTCCACAGGGGTCACAAAGAGTTGGACATGACTGAGCAACCGACCAACCACAACATGGAAAAAATGCAGAACGTGTAAGGTGGAGCGTCCCCTCCAACCATGCCCCCGGCCCCTGCTCTCTCCAGGGAGGCAGCGCTGCCCTGCGGAGTTTCAGGGCAGTCTGAGGATATTCCGCTATGGAAGCTGGACCCCACTGTCCCTGGGGATGGACACCCCTAGGCAGAGGCCAGGTGGGCAAACCCATGTGCAGGGGACTCGCCGAGTCCTCCTGTTCTGGAATATGTTCCCACCCCCGGTTGCCATGCGGACTAAAGTTCTGGCTGTGAGGTTTTTGCAGTCAGGATTGAGCCTTAATGATTCCCTCGGGGGATCAGTCTTGGATGTGACATTCGCCCAGAGCGGTATGCCCACCCTTTCACCCTGTCACTGTGGCCAGCTGAGAGCAGGGCAGAGGGGACACAGGAAGGGTAGGCGTTGGTGTGGACCAGCTGGGGGGTGGACAGCGGGGGCCACTGGCAGGGCCTGGGAGCTGGGAGCAGGTGAGGACCCTGTGAGGAGGGCACAGGGCAGCGAGCAGAGGTGGAGGGGGGCTCAGGAGAGTGCATGCAGCCCCTGTGGACGCTGGATGTCCACCACGGGGGAAGGGCGGCTTCGGGCCTCCATGTCCCACCTTTGCCTGGGGCGGGGCAGGAAGGCGCCCTGTGACTGGTGGAGCTGGCCGAGGACCACGAGGCCCAGAGTCTGCAGGAGCGGCTGTGGCCTCGGGCAGGCCCTGCCCCCAGGGGCTCTGGGTCTCAGGCTGTGGAGAGAGACCCTACTACCTCTGGCCTCCCAGGAGTCCACCCTGGGGTGGGGAGGGGGCAGGGGGAGCTGGAACTGGACTCTATGCCCTCTTAGCTGGGCAGGAGGAAGGAGCTGGGACCCAGAGGGAGCTGTGAGGACATGGAAGGCTCCTGGGGGGCAGGGACTGGACCAGAGAAGCCCTCAGGGTCCGTCATCCCTGCTCCATCCCTGGGCCAATGCTCACCCATCTGGGGCTGCTCCCCAGCTGGGATCTCCCAGCTTTTTACGTCAGCTGAGGCCCCCAGAGGTGCCTGTGGGTGTGTGTGTGTGTGTGTGCGTGTGCGTGCACGCGTGTGTGTGTGGGTGCTATCCACGATGGCTCTGGGGTGTGTATGTGTAGGTGACGGAGGGCCCACCAGTCCCATGACTCTGTTGAGGCGAACTGGGAGACTTTCTGGAGGAGGAGGGCTTGATGCTTACCAGTCACTCCCTTCTCACCCTGGTACCAGCCTTACTGCTGCTGGGAGTTGGGGGGGAGGTCTGGGGAGACACAGGATCCGGGGAGCTGAGCAGAGGAGGGGGTCAGGCTTTGGGACCCTGAGCAGAGCCGGGGCCGGGCTGACCCAACAGCTGGCCCAGCTCTCAGCCTCAGTTTCCTCCTCTGTCGGGTGGGGCTGGGACCTGCTCATCCCATGTCAAGAGGGCCCCCCTGGGTTGAGAGGAGACCATGCCCGCGGGAAGGGCTGGGATGGTCCCCGGGCGGGAGGCTGGTTGGGGTGTAGGGGCTGACCCTGGCCGGGCAGGGTGGGGTGCCAGCCGCCTCCATCAGCGGCCCCTCTCGCCCCCCAGATCCCCCAGATCAGCTACGCCTCCACAGCCCCCGACCTGAGTGACAACAGCCGCTACGACTTCTTCTCCCGCGTGGTCCCCTCGGACACGTACCAGGCCCAGGCCATGGTGGACATCGTGCGCGCCCTCAAGTGGAACTACGTGTCCACGCTGGCCTCGGAGGGCAGCTACGGTGAGAGCGGCGTGGAGGCCTTCATGCAGAAGTCCCGAGAGGACGGTGAGTCTGCCTGCGGGCTCCCGCTCAGGGCTGGGGCGGGGGGTCCCCGCAGGGGGCTGCTCCCAGGTCCTGTCGTGGGCTCTCCTCCTGCCCCGGGGCCCCCTCATGGGCCTGAGCCTGTGGCTCGTGGGTGGGCGGCTGGGTGGCTCCTGGAGGCGGCGGGTGGGTGCAAATGACTTCTGCAGACACGGCCAGGCAGATGGAGGAACCATCCGTATTTGGGGCACAGGAGCTGATGGAACGGCCTCTGTCCTTGGGCAGAGAGGAGGGGAAGGAGGTGGGCATGGAGGGAGCCTTGTTCATGGGGGTCTCAGGGACCCAGGAGCCAGGGCCATCCTGGGAGCAAGGGTTTGTTTGCGGGACTGAGAATTCAGACTCCTTACAACTGAGCCGTCTGCTGGGGTGAGCGGCAGGGGCTGCGCGGGTGGGGCCGTAGGCGTCCCGTGGGTGGCATTTGGGGGGAGGCTGGGACAGTGGCTTGCTGTCCTCAGACACTCTCCACTTACCGCCAGCCCCCCTTCCCCCACAGAGCTCCCTGCACTCCCAGATTGCAGTCCTCAAAGTGATAAAGGTTTCAGTTATCAGCGAGTATTGACAGGCTAAGACAGGGTGAGCTCCAGCAGGCCCACACTTGGGCCTTTGAGCCGGCCTTTCCGATGGCCCTGCCGGGGAGGGCAGCCGTATGGGACAGTGGTGGGGGGTGCGTCCAGGGCAGCAGACTGGCCTTTGGGTTGGCTGACTCAGGGCAGTGGGCTGGAGGGAAGGCTCCCCTAGTGCGTGGGAGCCCCTCCCCTCCTGCTAGACCCCCTCCCTGCAGAGGGAGCCCCTCCGCCTCCTCTCCCAAGGCCCCGTCTCTAAATAGCTCACTGGAGCCCTCGACCTTGGGGATGGCATCTATATATTTATACCCGGATAACCCCGGGACTCTAATTGCTTCTCCTAAGGACCACAGAGTGTCCAGAGGCGGGCATTGGTAACACCCTGCGGGTATAATCCTGCTATAAATCTCGGATAAGCCCCTTTAATTGTACAGCCGAAGCCGCGGGTGGTTGTAACCTGGCAGAGAGGGCGGCAGGGTGGTGGAAGTGGGGCAGGGCTGACGGATGGCTGTGGCCCCGGGCCCCCGCCCTCCGCTCCAGCGGCTGGGCCCCCGTGGAAGGAAGCCGGGGTGGTCAGAGCCCACTGCTACCTGCAGGCAGGCTGGGCAGCATCAGACCCCAGCCCTCAGCCCCTCCCTCTGAGGGCTCGCCTGTCCTTGGCTCCTTTGCTCAGATGGGTTCCTCTCCGCCCCGGCTCCATCCATCCTCCCCAGCAGGCTCCTCTCCTCCTTGATGGCTTGAATCCTTTCCCGAACAAGCCCACGGGCTGTTTCAGCTGCAGCCTCGGTCAGATTTGGGGACAGAGGTGCTGGACGGGGGCAGGATGGAGGTCCAGAATCTTGGTGTCTAGGGGGACCGGGAAGACAATCCCGGACTCCCGTGGCCCTCCCCATGTCCCTGGTGTGTGCTGAGCCCCTGTTTACACCTGGTGCCCTGAGTCATCCACCCTACCTGGTGAAGTAGGTACCCCCTTTGTACAGGGGAGGAAGCTGAGGTGCAGAGAGACCACATAATAACTGGCAACAGGTCACAGAGCAGGTTAGAGGTGGAGAAGGGGCGTGAACCCAGGCGAGCTGGCTCCAGGACTTGCAGGTTTTATCTGTGTCGTGTTTCTGTTACTCTGTCTTCTGCCCATTTCCCAGATGCATAACCTGAGACACATGTGGACCAGACCTGTGCAGGGGATGGGGGTATGACAGTCACACACACACACACACACACACACACACACACACACACACACACACACCCCTTCGGCCTGGAGGGACAAATGCTGTTGTAGGAAAGGCTTGGGATTGGGGTGAGGTCTGGGCGTTGGGTTTTGGCTGAAGCTAAGGCTATTGTCTGAAGTTTCTGTGAGCATCTAATCAAGCATTGAGTTTTTTCTAGAAAATAGAAAGTCTGCTCAAGATTTTGTAAAGGACTTCTAGAAAAATAAGAGCTCAGGGCCCTCACAGTGCCCCTGCCCCCTGCACTCCATCCCATCACCAAAGGTCCAGCTTTCCACCGGGCTGGACCTCCTGCGTCCACAGACCCCCGCAACCCCGGTGTGTCTCCCTGCCCTACCTGCCAAATGAAATTTGATTTGGAGAACTGTCTTTAGTGAGTGAAAAGAAAAGGGGAGAAAAAGCCGCGCTTCAGCAGCCCAAATTGAAATCAGAATTGAGCGGCCAGTAGAAAGGGGCCTCTGTACCTTGTAGCCTAATCCCTGAGAAAGATTAAAGATGTCTCTGGCCGTATATTGTATTGATTTGTCCTCTGAAGTATAAATCATCTTTGAGTTGCTCAGAGGCATGCCAGGGAGTGGGGTGGTGGGGTGGGCTGAAGGTACATGTCAGAGCCCCGGTGAGAGCGGGGCCAGCAAGCCCTGGGCGCCGACCGTGTGCTGGGCTCTGGGTCCTGCAGGGAGCATAATCATGCCCATTTCATAGATGAGGAAACGGAGGCCAGAGAGGGTAGGTGGCTCTCCCAAGACCACATAGCCAGAATGTGGAGGGGCTGGGTTTGGAACCAGCTCTGCCCTCTGGGTGCGGCGCTCCCGAGCACCCAGCACCGATGGGGCCTTTGGCAGAGGCCTTGGAGAGAGCCCCGATGCTGTGCTTCCTGGTGCCCATCAACAGCGCCCTTCCACCCCAGTCACTGTGTCGTGCGGACCCTGCCCTGAGCAGCCTGTGGCCCTAGACTGAAGTCTGCCCTGTGGCAGGGTCACACATTGCACGAATCCTGGTGACAGCCTTGTGGGCCTGGTATTCTGTCCTCTTTTCCAGGTGAGGACCCCGAGGCTCAGAGGGGTGGGCTTGCCTAGGCTCATACAGTGAGGTGCTGGAGCTACTTGGAGCCAGGCTGTCAGATCTGGTGCCCCCACCCCAGGCTGCCTGCCTCCCCCACATGGCGCTAGCCACGTGTGGTCAGGAGAGCGGCTGTAACAGACATACCTGGGCTCCGACTAGGCCACTCACTGGTCACATGATCCTCGGAAAGGCACTTAGCCCCTCTTGGTTTTGGTTTCCTCGTCTGCGAAATGGGATAAAACTGGTTGTTATCAGAATGAAACGTGCTGGCCCATGGAGGCGGGCACTCAGGAGCTCACACTGGAGCGTTGTTATTATTACAGGTCCTCCCTGAGGCCTGGGAGTGTTGGAAGGCCTGAGGGGGCCATGCTGGGCCCTGCAGGCCATGTCCAGGGACAAGATGAGGGATGAGACCACGGGAGCCTTGGCCAGCCTGCTTCTTGAAGGCGAGCTGGTCTGGTGGTGAGCGGGCAGTGTAGCAAGCCCCTGAGGCAGCCAGGGCAGGACGTGTATGTGTGGGGGGGGTGCATACTAGGTGATTCTCTGGGCTTGTGCCCAGCGGGCCTGCCCTGATAGCAGGGCCTGTGTGAGGTGTGGGTGCCCCTCTGTGTGAGGTGTTTGCCTCTCTGTGTGAGGTGTGGGTTTCCCTCTTTGTGAGGTGTGGGTGCGTGCCCCCTCTGTGTGAGGTGTGGGTTTCCCTCTGTGTGAGGTGTGGGTTTCCCTCTGTGTGAGGTGTGGGTTTCCCCCTGTGTGAGGTGTGGGTTTCCCTCTGTGTGAGGTGTGGCTGCCCTTCTGTGTGAGGTGTGGGTGCCCCTCCGTGTGGGTGCATGCCCCCTCTGTGTGAGGGCTGCTGCCTTCTTGCTGCAGGGCTCCCCCCTCTCTGCCAGGTGGAGGCTGCCCAAGGGTGAGTTGAGTGGCAACAACCAGTGCTGGGACGAGGTATGCAGAGACCACGTGAGTCACCCCTGGAGGGGGATGCAGGCTAGAGGGGCTGGCAGGGGGGCCCCGCCGTCAGTGCCTCCCACCACTGTCCTGGGTGCTCCCAGGGGCTGGGCTCCGGAGTGTAAGCTTCTATGCGCCCACAGCTTTTCTGTGTCTGCAGGCGCCTGTGTGAGCCTGTTTCCTCGTGCTGGTGCTCCATTTCACAGATGAGGACAACTGAGGCTCAGGAAAGTCAAGGAGCCCGTCTAAGGTCACAGGGAAGTTGAGTGCCAGAGCCCAGGGCTCCTGTGTGGGTGACAGGTGAAGGGGTGATTACTAGGTAACATGTACGAAGCCCCCCTGTGAACCAGACCCTGTTTTATGGGCTTCATAACTCATTTATGGAGTTATTCATAACTCTTGAGAGTCCCTTGGACTGCAAGGAGATCCAACCAGTCCATCCTAAAGGAGATCAGTCCTGGGTGTTCATTGGAAGGACTGATGTTGAAGCTGAAGCTACAATACTTTGGCCACCTGATGCAAAGAGCTGACTCATTTGAAAAGACTCTGATGCTGGGAAAGATTGAGGGCAGGAGGAGAAGNTGCCTCCTTGTTGACAATTCTACCATTAATTGTAAGATCAGAGAGGTACATCATTTTTTAAATACACGTGTCAATATCAGTGACAGGTAGTTTAATACAAATACTTAGGTCATTAAGAGTAACACAAGCATCTTATATGCTAGTTCAAATCCAAGACGAATAGCCATCTAATAGTTGATCATTGACAATATACTTAATGGCCTCAAAAGATCGCTTTAATGATTTGTGTATCATTTACTGAAAGATTAATTCTATTAGTAATCTTATCTAAAAAGATTATATCAGTAATAAGCTTAGCTCTAGATTAAAATTGTCAGAACATTTGTCATACTCATTTGCCAACCACTAGATGCTATTATTGGATGTTTAGTTTAAAAAAGAATGAGTGGAGTTACATTTTATTGACTATCTACATTTACACACGTGCACATGTATACACCCACACACCTACTCACATGTATATACACAACACTCTTTCTCAATCTGCTTTAGGCTGAAAAGGACTAATAATGTCCACAGCATGGAAGAATAATAAGAGCATATTCATGAATCTGATTTCTGTTTTTAGTTCTATTGTGAATGATAATTGTTTGTTACCATAAATAACAGCATATACCTTGGTTGCAGTTTTCAATGTGGAGAAATATTAACTATGTCTATTCCTTCTGTGAAAAGCAAGCTCTGCTGATTTAATTCTGAGTAAATCTAACAGGATCACTTAATATCAGGTACTAATTATTTAAGTGGCCACAGCAGACCTTATTTCACCCAAATGAACAGCAAACACAGTGTCCCAAACCGCTGGTTCTATCCCCCGAATGCTGTCTGGTACAATTAGAAAAGACCAGCCCGTTTAGAAACTGCTTGTCACCATTTTTTTTCAAGGAGACTGACCCCCAAATCAAACCCCAGAGTTTCATTTTTTGTTTTTGCTTTGTATGCCTTTCAGTTTACAAATTTGATCCAAATATGTCAATTCTTCCTAATTTTTTTTTTTTTTTTGCCTGTTTTGTTCTCTGATGCCTCCCCAGCCTCTAGCACAGTCCCTGGCACATAGGATTCACTCAGTAAATGCTGGTGGGATGGGTGATTGATCACAAAATTCAGCCAGCTACTCACTTCGTAAGCCCTTCTTCCTATTCAGGCCTGAAAGGTTGCTCTCCCAGTCCACAGAAAGGCAGACTGAGGCTTCTGGGGTCAGGCTGCCCTGGGACCCTCTCCTGCCCTCTGAGTTCCGGCTGCCCCCAGCCCTGTCCTGACCCACCGAGGACAGAAATCCTTCCCACTGCAGCTCCTGCCTTGGGATGCTTCGTCGTGGCATGCTGCCTGCCCCAGAAGGCAGGAATGGGAAGAAGCTCAGCCTTCCAGAGCCTGGACTTCATGGATCTATTTCACATCCTCTGGGTACTCAGCCCCCGTGCGAGGAGAGGAGCGCGGCTGTGGGCCCTGCCGGCTCCCAGCGGGTGTGGGAAGAGTAGTGCCCAGTCAGACCTGGCACCCTGCCCTCCTGCAGGAGGGGCCGGGGAGAGTCTGGTTGAATAAGTGAATGAAGGGATGTCATGATGCCTATGTGGAGGTGAAGAGATAAATTCCAGGGCCGCAGGGGGCCCCTCCCAGCAGGGCCTGGAGGAGGGGCACACTTGGATAAGTGGGGAGGAAGGAGGGGGTGTGCCAGGTGGGGGAGCAGCATGAGCAGGGGCCTGGAGGAGGCAGCAGGCAGATGGGACCGCAGTGAGGGGCCTGGCCTGGTCCTAGTGGCCGTGAGACAGGGACCCATGTGAGGCGGAGCTGCGCGGTTTCTTTCAGGCCAGTCTTGCCTTTAACAGTGTTTTTGGCCCTTGGAGTTGGTGTGTCCAGCTGCTGTGTCCAAATTCCTTAGGGCCCTGGGGAGTCTTCTCTGCCCATCGTGGCGGCTCTGAGCCAAGGCTTCCTGCAGACTTGCTGACCCATGGAGGCCTGTCATCTTCCCCTGGGGTTGGCCTCCTGGGAACCCCAGTCACCCTCGCCCCAGTGCCTGCTGAATTTCCCCTCTTCCTCTCCTGCTTGGCTGGGCCCCTTGAGACCAGGGAAGGGTAGGACCCCTCCCTCCTTGGCTGTGTGCCCCTTGCCCTCCCTTGCACATGGCGGGGCCTCAGCAGATGTTTGTAGGATGAACAGATGTGCTCTCAGGCAGGTCGCTGCCCTTCCGGGGCCTCCGTCTCTCATCTGTAACAGGAGCGGCGTGTCAGCTCACCTGCAGGGTTGGCTCTGACAGCTGGCAGGCTGGGTGCCCCTAGTCTGAGGCCCCTGGCTCCAGGCATCCTTCTTGTAAGTGGAGGCTCATCATGGGGGCGCTACAGGCTTGGTCTTTTGGTTCAGGGATGATTGGGGCCAATTGCACGAAGACAGAGCTTGGAGCGTGTGACCTTCTCACCCTCAGTCAGGTGACATGTGGTTGAGATCAGCCAAGGTTGGGGGTACCCAGATTCAGGGAGGGGTCCTGCCACTGGCTTTTTGGGTTGGTGTATACGATGGCTGGTAGCATCTTCCTGGGGGGAGAGCGCAGCCCCGCCGCCCAGGGACCTGCAGCTGGGGCCCAGCATCCCCTGCCCGCTGACCAGACCGTGGGTGGAAATTAAGTGGACCTGGCTTGGGCACCCCGGGAGATTGGCAAGGTGCTGGCACCAGTGTGACTGCTCTGTGGCGGCCACATCAGTCTCTGTCCTGCTGTGAGGATGAACCCTGAGCTGCCTGGCCCGCCGTGGGGACTCCACCTGTCCACTTTAATTTCTCTGCCCTCTGGCCTTTTGTGCGAGGCTGGCACCTCTTGATTTTGTGAGTCCTGTGCGTTGGGTGTCACCAAGCCACCTCTCCTCTCTCCCTGACTCATCTCTGATGTGTTTTCCCTGACTTATCATGATGGGGACATGCTCCCACCCGAGTTTGCCTCTAAGCTTGACAGGAGTGGCAGGAGGAAGGAGATGGTAGACACTGAGCCCTTTTCACTCCAAGTTTGCACCCCTTTCCTCTTGGACAGTTCAGTTCAGTCACTCAGTCATGTCCGAATCTTTGCGACCCCATGGACTGCAGCACGCCAGGCCTCCCTGTCCATCGACAGGAAGCAACTTTTTCTTTCACTGGCCTTTTTTGTGGAACGTTTGAAGATTTCTTCTGGGCCTAACATTTCCCTTTGCTGGTTGCAACCCCTTCGTGGCTTTGGGCTTCATGCCGTCTTCCCCAGATGGTGCGGTAGGGTGGGGGCCTCAAGAGCCACCATGAACTGTGCCACCTTGAGCAGTCACTTAGAGGCTCTGGGCCTCAGTTTCCACCTCATTCAATGGGAAAATTAATAGCACTTCCCTTCTGGCTTGCCATGAGCATCAAACGAGTTAATCCATGTAAAGCACTAGCACAGTTGGGGCCCCGCACTCAGCACTGAACTGCTGGAGGTGTCACTGTCACGGTTACTCATCAGAATGGGGATTGCGGGTCGGGTCCCAGTTCTAGCCTTTGGGTGGCTGTGTAACCCTGGGCTGGTTACTTTCCATCTCTGAGCCTCAGCTTCATCCCCAGTGTGAAGGTGACGTGTCAGAGGAGACCCCTGTGATTTGGGTCTTCGTGTGCCTTACCCACCTCTCTTGGTTTTTCTGTCCTCACCATGTGGAGGTCCGGATATCACCGGGTTGGCCTCTGGCTTCTGCTCTGCCTGTGTTCTTGGGCCCAGACCTGAGCCCATAGAGTGGGCTCCTTTGGCCTCTCTGGTTGTGTTACCTCTGAGCCTTTTGACGAATGAATCTCTCAGCCTGGTCTGAGCCCCCTTGTCTTTGAGTTCATTTCCTGCCCTTGTTTCTTCCTCCTCCCCTTCTCTGAGCCTCTGCACTGGGTGCACGCTGGGCTCTGTCCTCCCAGGCTCCCATGTCTAGGGATCCCTTCTGACTTCTTCCCCTTTGTTAAAGAGCAGGTGGCAAAGGCATTGACTTTTCCCTGCCCCCACCCAGTTTGGGCCTTGACTTCCAGAAAGCCCTCTTGACCTCCTTGCTGACTACTGAGTTTCAGCCTGCTTTCCTATCTGAGGTCCCAGTACTCCCAGCCCCCTACTCTGGGCTTAGGGATGTCATCCAAGCAAGCCCCAGCCCCCATTTCCCTGCAGCCCCGGGATACTGTGAGCTCATGGCTTCCTTCCCTCCTGTCCCGATCTTCAGGGTCTGCTGAGTGTCCCAGGAGGGTTCTGGCCTCAGCATCACCCCCTACTCCTGTGTGACCTTGGACAAGTCACTGCCCCTCCCGGAGCTTTCCAGTTCTTCATGAGACCAGGCAGGGGCTGTGTACCTTCTTCAGTGGGCGCATGCATGTCGTGGACACACAGAGGGATGTCTGAAGCCATTTCTTCCCCTTGTTACCCTGTGTCATCCACCCAACCCTCTTCCCAGAGCCTCTGAGCCCAAGGCTCTGCCTCCTGCACCAGCCCCTCAGCCAGCCCACCCTGGCCTGTGTGAAGCCTCCTGGACCTCCTTGTGTTTTAATATGCGATTTTCCAGGGAGTACTTAATTAACCACACCCACTGCAGCTGCCGGGCCCTGGCCCCAGCCCCTACACAGACGCCCTGAGAATTGTCCCTGTTTTATGGAGGAAGTGGCCATGGCCCAGGCTGCCTGTGGGCTGGCCTTCACAGCATGTCAGAGGCAGAGCTTTGCATTTAGGTCTGTGTGACTCCAGAGCCCGAGGGAAGGAAGGAGGGAGGGGCCCTCCTTTCGATGACATATGTGATGTCTTACCCAGCTTCTCTGGGGAAGTGCTGCTGAGTCAGTCAGATGGACAGACCTCGGAGGACGACCCCACCCCCTCGACACACACAGGCTTTAAGTTCCCTCAGGACCAGGGAAGCGGGGCGGGCAGCTTCTGTGACGCCGAATGTGAGTGTGATGGGAGTTACTTAGTCACGTGTGGCTGTGGATGAGCCTGCGAGGGGCTCTGTCTAAACGTGGGCATCACAGGGCCTGGAGGTTGGGAGGAACGCATCCCTGATGGTCACCTTTTCAGTGATGGCTTCCCTCGGGCTCCTGGGGTTTTTGAGGACTCAGAAGAAGGGAGTCTAGGCCTCCAGATTGTAGAGCCTACTCTATAGGGATATGACTGGTGAGTAGGGCAGTGGGGGCACTTTCTCAGCCCTTGCACCCCTCACTTCTATACAATAATTTATTCATTTGCTGGAAAGATATTTATTGAGCCCCTACTGTGTGCCAGGCATTGAGCCAGGAGATGGGGGATACAGCAGTGGACTAAAGAGATGAGGATCACTGATCTTGTGAGCTCACATTTGGGGGGAGGGATAGGGGCAACTTATTGTAAACAAGTAAAGACTTCACTGTATGATAGACTTTCAGATAGGAACTGATGAGCATTGCTATAAAGAAGGAGAAAGCTGCATAAGTAGACAGAGGGGGAAGGAAGGGGAGACTGTCATACGAGTGGTCAAGGAAGGCTTTTCTGCAGAGGCGAACTTAGGGCAGAGGCCTAAATACAGTGAGGGAGTGAGCCACGAAGAGATCTGTGGGAAGAGTGCCCCGGGCAGGGCTACTGACAAGTGCAAAGGCCCTGAAAGCCTTCCTGGGACTTGGAGGGTAGCCAAGAGGCAGGAACAGAGCAATTGAGGGGGCAGAGAAGTGGAAGAGGTGGGGAAGATCACGGGGGCCCTTCTGGCCTCTCTGAGGACTTCGGCTTTTGATTTGAGTGAGACAGGAGCTGTGGGAGGCTTGTGAACAGAGAAGCGATGTAGATGGGCTTGGGTTTACTAGGGTCCCTCCGGCCATTGTGTAGGGAAGAGACTGTGGGCCTGAGGCAAAAGGCCAGTGAGGAGGCTACTGCTGTCTTCCAGGTGAGATGTGATGATGACCAAAGAGTGGGAGTGGTGAGAAGGGACAGGTCTAGGGTATGTTGTGAAGCACTAGCCCGCACGTCTTGCTCCCAGGTTGTGTGTTGGTGGAGGGGAGGAGAATGGCCCCAGTGCCCCTGCATTCAGCACCACGGACAGCGCCAGCACAAGACCAGAAGGGGGAAGGGGAGCTTCCTTGAAGAGCAGATGGGAAGAGGAGAGTCTTAAAGAACCATGGGCCTGTCCCAGAGGAGCAGCAGGGTGCTCTGGATAGGGGAGCTGCGTGATTAAATTTGGTTCTTCATGATGCTTTTCTTCTGAGAGCAAGGAGGGGGCTGCATTCCTGACAATAAGGGGGATGGGCCACCTCACGGCAGACAGTGCTGACCCTCAGGCTTGCCATGGCCTTGCTGTGTGTCTGGAGAAGCTACCATTCTTTGGCCCTCAGTTTCTCCATCTGTAAAATGGGGGTAATTGCAGTCCTTACTGTGCTGATTATTGTATGACAAGAATGGGCAGATTAGCCATCAGAGGCCAAGAAAGGGCTGGAGGGGTGCAGGGCTGCCTCTGCGGCCTCAGGCCCCGAGGGTGAGCATGTGGCCTTTTCCTGGCTGGCCGCACCCCCGCCCCTTGTGACCATCCTCCTCGTTCTCCCTGACTCGCATGGTGCGGTACATCTGTGCCTCATTTTGCTGTAGACCGAGTGATCATATGGATATTCTATGCAAATTCTCATTTTTAATGAGCCAGAAGGAAAGCTAACAACCATTTTGCAGACGTCTTGGGGCTCAAGGGAGGCCTTGGGATGGGGGGAAAAAGCAGGACAAAGTGACACATGAGAGGAGAGAGGAGGGAGGGAGGGGGAAGGGGATAGAGCGGGGTGGGGAATTTTAAGACAGGGAAACAGGCTGGGAGAGAGGTGGCAACTCACCAGACACCTGACTCTGGGAGAGAGAGACATATGCAGAGGCAGGGCAGAGGGAGCAGACGGGTTGGAGAAAGGGAAGGTGGCGGCATCCAGGACTAGGCTCTGGCTTACAGGACTCAGTTTCCTGATCTGTATAATGATCACAGTGCCTAAGCCGTGGGCTGACTGAGAGGAGCTAATGAGAGAACAGGTGCAGACATTGCATGACCGAAGGGTGCTGCCAGAATGCGTGGGCCATGGGGTCATGTGTGTGAGCGGGGAGGAGGGGGCAGGGGACTGGGTGGGGAGACAGGGAAAGGAGGGCAGAGGAACAGGAGCTAGAGATGCGGAACGAGGCCTTCTGCGCAATAGGCCAGCTCCTAGTTAGTCCGTTTGCTCATTTGCACATTCATTCATTCCTTCTTTCATTCTTCAGCATCTGTGGTCTAATTCATAGACAGAAGTCAGCTCCCTGAGGGCAGGATTCTGGTCTGTCCTATCCATGGCTGTCCCCACAGCATCCAGGGCAGCACCTGGCACTGGGAGGGTCTTAGTGAATCGTTGCTGAATCAGTGGATGCTCTGTGCCCAGAAATGGGCCCAGCAGTGGCCACTCCCTGGAGGCATCTAGTCCAAAACTTTCCCTTCCCTGTGCTAAGTACAGTACCTGAGTTATTGGGATGGTTACGGGCACCCAGCAGAGAAGGAGCCTGGGGACACCTAGGAAGACTTCCTGGAGGAGGAGACCTGAGCTGAATCTTCAAGAACCGACAGGAGCTGACTTGAAGTGACTTGAAGGAGTCCGGGAAGGGGAACTGGGCCTAGAACAGAGGGAACACTCTGGTGTTGGGAAGTGCAGGTCCTGTTGGAGGCGGGGAGCGCAGAAGATGAGGCTGCAGGGCTTCAGGACCCGAGGGAGCTGAGGTGAGAGCGAGTGAAGGTGGGAGGGAAGGGCATGCTGGAGTGGGATGGGTTTTGGTGGGGTGGTGGGTGCTCGGCTGGACAGGCTGAGGTTTGCATGCCGGTGTGGGGCTCTGATCTGGTCAGGTGGTGTCCACAGGAGTCGGGGACAGGGCCCAGGGGATCAGAGCCTGAGAAGTCAGCTGGCTGCTGCCTCGGGTGAGGCTGGACCTGTCCCCGGAGCTCGGAGCCAGCCTGGAGAGGGGCCAGGGTGGCATCTCTGTGACTGCCTTGAGCAGATCACGAACCTCTCTGGGCTCTGGTTTAGATTTAGAAAGGACCTCTCAACTGCGGGTAGTCCCACCCGGGCCAGAGTGCCTGGGGTGCATTTAAATGTCAGTGTAAATATCACAGTGGCTCAAGTCCCCTCTCATATTTAGTGCCCAGAGTCCCAGGATGTCCTTTTGTATTGCAACACGGGACCATCTCTTACTATGAAAAATGTCTAGCCCCAAAGGCCTATTGAGAAAAATCAGTAGCTGTCGGGTCCTCTGCCCCAGCTTTGGTGTTCCACAGAGAGGGCAGGATCAGCCGAGCACCCCTCCCCGCACCCCTCCCCAGATGCCCTCCTGAGATCCACTTAGGACTGCTCCCGGGATCCAGGCTTGGAGGCCCCTTTCCATCCCAGATCTGGCCAAGCAGGCTCGCAGGCTCTGGGGCCCCAAGCTTTTCCCCAGCATCATCGGGAGAGCCTGGGACAGGTTTTGGGGGGGTGGGGTGAGCACTTCCCCAGCTCAGGGCCACATCTGGGCCTCTGCCCCTGACCTTTGTCCACCAGCTCTTGCTAACCCCAGTCGCAGGCAGCTCAGAGCCCAAGAAAAGCCTCCGATAGTCCACAGGGCCAGCTGGTGTCTGCTCTGTCCTCGCCATGCCCCTCCCCCATGGCCAGTCTCGGGGGCACACTCACACCCACTGTCTGTCCTGCTTCCCAGTCGAGGGGTCAGCAGCCCCATTTCCTGGCTGAGGAAGCTGGGGCCTCACCCTGGGTACATCCAGAGCTGAGGATGGGCTCAGCCCGCTGTTCCTTCCACATCCTGCTCTTCTGCCATGAGAAGGGTCGACTTGAAGAGCTCGAGTCAGGCTCCTGTCGGGGAGGGTGTGAGGGCTGGTGCGGGAAGGTCCAGGAGGACTTCATTACCCAGTGCCTGCTTGGGGCACCTTGGGAAGGCCCGAGCCCGCCGCCGGCAGGGAGACATGCTTGGCCTGCCTGAGTAATTACATCTCAACATTTCATTTTGCTTGTCAGTTTCCACTTCCTGGGGATGTGGGCTCCTAAATATTTCATCCCAGTCTGCAGCCTCCTGTTCCTCTCCCACCAAACTGCAGGCCTGGCTGCTGGGCTGGAGCTGGCCAGAGGTCATCTTCTCCATGCCCCTGCCTCTCAACAGGTGTCTCCACCACCAGCCCAGAGCTGGATCCTCCTCCCAAGGGGTCTGAGGTGAAGAGGCCAGGCAGACAACATTGCCAGAAACAAGAGTCAACACTGAACACCTGCTGTGCTGGAACTCAGGGAGTGAGGAAAGAGAAAAATGCAATCTGCCCTTGAAGGGGTTTATGGGCTGATGGAGAAAACGATCAAGTGTTACAGGAGCAAACTTTGAGTAGTTGTGTGCCAGGCACTGCTGCATGTATTAATTCAGTTGTTCTTCATGCTTTACTATGAGGAGATGAAACCCAGAGAGGTGAGTAACTTGTCCGGAGTCCCACAGCTGAGAAGTGGCAGAACAGAATCTGAACTCGGGCAACCTGGCTCCAGCCCTCATGCCTCAAAGCACAGGAGTTACTGACCCAGCAGCCTCAGCAGAGGATGGCAGGTTCCAGGGGAAAGGGGTGTGATGAGAGCCTGGGTGGGGCGGCGGCACATCCCCATTGCAGGAGGATCTGGGGTGTTTCGTGGGGGAGAGGTGGAGAAGTGAAGCCCCGAGGCAGGGCTGGGCAGGTGGGCAAGCAGGAGGGGCTTTTCCTGTAGGGGGACCAGCCAAGGCTCCAGGGTAGGGACGCTTGAGTTTCATTGGAGAAAGTGGCCTCGCTGTGGAGTGTGGAGTTGTGAGGTCAGGGAAGGGGCTGAAAAGCTGCTCTGTGACCTCGCCCTCCAGCTGTGTCGCTGGAGCTGGGGGTCTTGTTCTGAAAGGAGTTTTTCAGCAGAGGACTCTGAACTAGTGCTGAGCAGTGCTGGGTCTGACTGCTGCCCAGCCCGACTTGCCGTGGGAGCCTTGGGCAGACTCCTTTCCCTCTCTGAACCAACTCTGAGAAGTCGGTGGGATCCCCTCAGCTGAGGAGTGCCCTGCCGGGGGGCTTCTCTGGTGGCCCAGTGGCTGCGACTCCATGCCTCCAAAGTAGGGGGCCCAGGGTTTGATCCCTGGTCAGGGAACTAGATCCCGCAACTGAGACTTGTCACCACCAAATACACAAATATTAAAAAATTAATCATTATTGTATACAAAATAAGAAGAATGCCCGGGATGGCCACTGAGAATAGAGGAAGGTGGGCCCTCGGGGGCTGGGTTGGGGCAGGGGTCTCCGGCGGGTGGCCTGGAGCTGGGCCGGGCCGGAACCAGACACCTCCTTGTGCCTTCCCCCACAGCTCCCTCCCTCCACCACCTGCCTCTAAACACCTTCGCTTCCTTCTCTCCTCTCTCTTTTTTCTCCCAGCTTTTCTCGCTTCAAAGGTGTTTTGCCTAAATGGGTTTGTGTTAAGATATTAGGTCGATCACTCAGCAAATTTCCCTCTGCTCAGAGCCGTGCGCCATGAATAATGCAGCTCTGAACAGCCCTCGCTGCCCAGCGGCCTCCCAGGGAGGGGGCGGCTGCGCTCAGCTCGAGGGCTCTGAGCCCCACAGCTCCCCTGGCTGGTCCCCGCCGCAGCGTGCCTCTTCCCTGTCCCCAAAATATCCCCCCAGGGGCCGGGCTGTCCACAGGTGACCCCTTTAATCCTCACAACACCCCTGCCGCGTCCGGAGGGTGGCGAGCATGCCGTCCCACTTTACAGATGCGGACGTGTAGGTTCAGAGAGGCTGGGGGACTTGGCTTTCATCACGCAGGGGCCGGATGTGGGACGAGGGCCCGTCTGCGCCCAGCCTCGGTCCCCCATGTCACAGCAGGCTGGCTCTCAGATGGCGGTGTCCCTGTACCCGCAGGTCCCGCCCGGGTCTCCCCAGGGGCAGGTGGGTGTGAGTGGACGGCCTGGTTGCAGAGGGAAGATGTGGATTTCGCCCAGAGTGGGGCACTGAGGTGGCCGGGTGAGTAGTTGCTGGATGACAGAGGTGCTGTCTCCTTCCACCCAGGGGCCATCCCTGCCCCCGCCAGCATCCCCCAGCCGGGTCCCCCGAGCACCAGTAGCAAAAGTGAGATGTTGATGGTGCTAAGGATTGGCCGGTGGCTCCAAGGAGGTATGGGCAGCTGACCCGTGTGTCTGGGTCTGCGGCTGTGTATAGGGTGTGACCTGCGGAGGTTGGGTGTGGTGAGTGTGGCTGTGTGAGGCGGTGTGCTTACTGTGTGCACTTGTGTTGCTGTGATCTTGTGTGGGGTGGCAGTGATGTGTGGTTTGTGACGTTGTGAGGGTGTGTGTTACCACGTGTATGGGCTGAGGCGGGCGGCGGGGGGACATGACCTGAGAGTGTCTGGGAAAGGAGGGATGTGTGTCCTGCCTTGGACACAGCCTCTAGGCTGAGGCCGCGGGTTCTGCCCAGCAGGCTCTGTCCCTGGAAACAGAGCTGAGTGTCGCCCGGTGTCTCTGGCCCCCAGAGCATCCTCACAGCCCCGGGTCCTGACCTGAGGTCCTGACGAGCTCTCTGCCCCTCTGCCTTTGCAGCCCCACCCCCACTAGGACTGGCTCACTCCCCAGAGACTTTGGCTCCTGGAGGCTGACCCAGGCTTTCACAAATACCATTTGACCCTCATGCTAGCCCCATCAGGTGAAGTTTTTTTTAAATCCTTCCCTATTTTACTGATGGTAAGCCTGATGCTCAGAGAGGCTAAGTAACTTGTCCAAAGTCACACAGCCAGGGTCTTCCCTGGTGGTCCAGTGGCTAAGAATCTGCCCTCCAGTGCAGGGGACAGGGGTTCGATTCCTGGTTGGGAAACCAGGATCCCACATGCCTTGGGGTGACTATGCCCACACAACTACTGAGCCTGTGTGCCGCAGTAAAGACCCAGCACAACCAGAAACCAAGCAGAACCCAAAAAGAACAAAGTCACACAGCCCGAAGCTGCGGAGAGGACATTTCCCTTTTGTCTCACAATGGCAGGGAAGAGGAAGCTGAGAGCAGGTGTGAGATCCACACTTTGCACAAACCTTTGGTGGGGTGCATCATGGGGACCCTGCAGGTGGGAAAGTGGGGTGACTGTGTCCCCTTCACTGTCCCTTGGTACCCGGGTCTTCCTGGCTCCAGCCGAGTCTCTCCTAGTGGGCCCACTGTGTCCCCTCGGGCTGGAGTTGCCCTGCCCCCCCGGCCATCTCTACTGGCCCAGCTGTCTTCAGCCCTGGGCCTTTGGGGCCCTGCCAGTTTGCATGGCTATCTTATACTTTTCCACTTGATCTTTTGCACGTGCATTTCTTGAGCACTCATAACAAGGAATTTACATCTAGGTAGAAAGGTAAATTCCCAGCAGAAGGCAGGACTGAGAGAGAGGTCCCAGTGTGCATGGCGCCCACGTGGGCTTGGAGCTTGCCAGTGCATCCTACAGGGCAGGCCCTGTGCCTGGATGGCCTTTGCAGCCCAGAGCCTGGCACAAAGTGGCTGCCCAATGCTGGTAGACACGTAGACATCCGGGCACTCCGTGTGACCAGGTGGTGCTCAGAGGGGAGGTCACAGTGGGCTGCAGGGGTCAGGGAGGTTCTTAGAGGAAGTGTGCAGGTTTGAGCAGGTGGCCACTTCAGATTCCTACAGCGCCTCCGCCCCCAAGCCAGTGCCAGCAGCTCCTGCCCCGCTGGCCCTCCCATCCCTGTAGTCAGGTGCTCGGTGGCCCATTCATCTGGCAAGCGTGGGTCACGGCCTGTCACGAGCAAGTGTGCTGGGCACCATGAGGGCCGGAGCAGAGACAGATCGGGAGGAGATAAGATAAGCGAGGGAGGCAGACTGAAGGGGCAGCCTCTGTAGAGGAAGGCCTGATGTGGTGGGTTTTTGCTGGGACCAGACCTGAGGGGGGGATGTGGGCCTTGCATGCCACTTGTACACATGCACACGCATGCACTCACACACACATGCACACACACTGTGGGAGCCATGTATGAGAGAAAGGAGGCTGGAGTGGACACTGGATGGTGGGGAAAAGGGCTGGGAGTGGGAGAAGAAAGGGGGTGCTGGCCATGAGCCAGGCTCACCCCACCCCCACCGCCCCAGAGAGCCCTTGAGCCCTTGCTGGAGCCAGAGCTGCCCCTCGCTGCCCGCCCCCAGCCCCAGCCCTCCTGGACGGCCACAGGTTAGGGGGCTTCTCTCAGGGCCTGGACGTCTCCCTGACCTCAGATGCCCTTTCATCCACAGCTCTGCTGCCTGGAATCTGTTGCACAGCTCCATTTCCTTAGACCAGGGCTTCGTTCCCGGTTGAAAGTAAAAGTAACATAATGTTGGTCACTGATGCCTCTGAATAGCTCCCTCTCCTGAGAGCAGGTGTGAGGGGTGGAGGGGGGGGACTCCGCGCGCGCACGTGTGTGTGTGTGTGTGTGTCTGTCTGTATGAGGGTGTGAGCCCATATAGCCCAGGGTCTCCCCCAGCCTCCCTCCTGCCTTTCCCCTTACCTTTCTCTCTGCCAGGAACCCAGGGAAGCTGGAGAGGGGACCCCCTCCTTGGGTTGTTTAACAACCCCCATTTTCTCTGTGTTGTAATTTGCTGCTTTCACATTTTGCCTTAATGTAGATTCTTTCCACTTGATTTCCTAGCTTTGGTCTCTCATTGTTTTTCTCCATTTTTAAATTTGAAAAGCCAGGAAAAGAAAGGGAGAGACAGAGAGGAGACGAGCCCAGTATCCCTGGGCTCCTGTGTGTTGGGTGCAGGGAAGTTTCTCGACTCTCCAGAGGGGGGTTTTCCCCAGCCTAGTCTGGAGCCCAGAGCCCGGGGTGCTGTTTGGGATGAGGGAATGGCACCCCTGGGCTCTGGGTGCCAGAGCAGGAGGGCACAGGTGCTAAGTCCCCTGGGATCTGTGGGCATGGTGTGTGTCTCGGTCACCTTGCTGCCCACTGCCTATGGGCTGGCTGCTTAGCTGCTTCCTGGCAGGGGCGGGCCTCCTGGTGGGTGAGATAAGGAAGAGGGGGCGGTGAGAGGGTTCCCAAGCCTGGAGGATGTGACAGACGGCTCTGGAGAGGCACAGGGGAGCCCAGGTCCTCAGCTGCCCCATACCGGGGGTGAGCCTGCCACCCTGGGGGGAAGCCCCTTCGTTCTGCCTTCTCTGGGTTGCCAGGGGAGTCCACAAGTTGGCAGGCCCTGAAGGCAGGGGGTCTGGGGGCTGCTTGGAGCGAGTGAGGAGGACTTATTCAGATGGGTGCAGTAGAGATAGCCCCATCCCGCGAGGGGCAGGGAGGTGCCCAGAAAAGAAGGAAGCTGAGCCCAGTGAGTCAGACAGTGATCAGACTTTGTGTAACCCACATCCACTGGGGCATTAGGAGCGCAGTTGGAGGCAGACA